TTTCTGTAGAATACCTGTAATATTCCTTGTTTACAAATTTCTAACCCATTATCTGTCCTTAATATTTTGACCTTTAGATCCTGTTCTGTTTTAAACACTTTTATAAATGTTTCCATAATATTTTTTACTTCATATTTATTCTTAATAAAATATACTGTTCTGTAATGTGAGTAGTCATCTCTAAATAGTAAAAAATATTTTGACAACATTACCGATAGGAGTCCCTCTGCATCGGTTCCACATAAATCTGCATGTATTAAATCGCCGACGTTAAAATATTCGGTCTCACTTTTACTGAACGATTGACGGTGTTGTTTCCCGAATTATGCAGTCGCTGCAATACAAATTGATCGTTCCTTGGTCTGAATAATCAATATTATGTTTTGCCAAACAATTCCTCACGTATTGAATATTCTGGTGAGCTAAACCGCTTTATGCCATACTTCTAATCGTTTTTCTACTGCAATGTTCGCAAAACATTCAGCTTTCGATGGTGCTTCAACTTTGATCTGTAATTCAAACAACCTACCGCATCTTGTGCCTATGCATACAGGAATCCCGTTTCTTTTGAACACACACGTTTTATTGTCTGACGTTAGTTCTAAACCTTTGTCTAACGCTGACCCGCACGAGAATAAATTAAATTTTAATCCCGGCACGTGCAATACATTTGCCAAGTAATTTTTATTCCAATTACCGTTCACGTATGATAATATATTAATATTACCTTTTCCTGTTGCATATAGATTTGTTCCGTCACCTATTGTTACCTGTTGTGTATATTTCAATGGTTCATAACTTGTAAACCATTCTAGGTTCGCGCTCATATGATCCGACGCGCCTGAGTCTAAAACCCACGTATCTGTTGTAGTTTCATTTATCCTTGACTCGCTTACAAATGCATTTAAATTTGTACCTGTAGTACCGGTTTTCCCACCTTTCATACTACTTAGAAAATTCTTACAGTTTCTTTTATAATGACCAATTTTACCACAGTAATAACATTTAACATTACTTTTATTAGTAAATTGTTTTTTACCTTTACCATAACTGCCGTTTTTTCCATCGGATCTGTTTTGAAATTTGGCTGGAAATGCACTCGATTTCTCTTGTTCACCAACTTCACCTTTGATCTGGATAACCCGTGATTCTTCAATCAACAACCGACTAGTTAAATTATTTATATTTTTACTTCCCGTTGGGACTGAATCCCAAGCACTGTAAAAATGATTATATTCTTTTGGTAATGTCATTAGTATTTTTGTCATAACCATGTTATCCGTAACTGGTTCACCCGCTACTCTCAGTTTCCTTCCTAAATTGACCAATTTAGAAATATGCGTCGACATGTCATCTGTCGACTCCTTTGAATAACTGAAAAATTGTTGTTGAAGCAAATGTATACTTGCCTCAGACTTCTGCTCGTAAATACTCAGCAGTTTCTCCCACATTTCCAATGCAGTCTCACAGTTAATCAAATATTGTAATGGACCATCGTCCACTGAGGTAACTATTATTTTCTGACATTTACCGTCCGCTTTTTGCCAAGCGTTTGTCTGCCTTTGCCAACGTGTTTTGGCATCCTCGTCGGTCTCTCCTGCCGACTTTTTTATAGGTAGACTTGGTTTCGTCCATTCACCTGAAACTATCTCACCTACTTCCAAGGCATTTAGAATGACCTTCATCTGGAATTTCCATAACGACCAGTTTTCCGCACATAATTTTGTTATCTTCACCGTGTCTTCCATGACCGATGATTTCCCGTATACTTGACCTGTATAACAATTTATAACAAAACTTTACCTATGTACACTGTTCCGCCGTTTTCCGAAATCCAGGATATCTCCGACTGGTTGTAGTTTTCTGCGTTAATACAAATATAAAAATACTTCGATCATGAATCCACTAGACTGTATGTCTTGGTTATTGACTGGGCCCATAACCTGTTGAAAGTGAAGCTTGACGGACTAATGATGTTAGCATTAATATAATAAGTAATAACACGACAATATGATTATGTATAAGTATAATATATAATAACGTACAACTGGACAATAAACTGTGACTATACACACACACCGCGTACACTCGGTATGACAGCGTCTGTGCAAGTGAATATTACATACATCAAAGGCCCTATTTATATGAACAATCGAGGCCATCCCGTATCCGTATATAATATAGAAAGCGATAGTAAAGGTGTTACACAGCTATATCGTAACTGCATAAGTATCTATTAGAAAACGACATTGTACACGCACGTGTGTTTACATGGTTTGAATACTAATATTAATTGTATATTTCAACAGAAGTGCCCAGGGGTTAAAGCTGAATAGTCAGTGGTATCCATGGAGACATGCTTGAAGTGGTCTGGAGTTTAGAATCGCTTCAATTTGGCAAAACAAGGTGTTTAGCTCTTCCTCAGTAAAGCACATATCTCCTGTAACCTTATTTAGAATACCCTTGGCAGACTTTATATTTGATTCCCACAACCCTCCATGATGAGGCGAAGCAGGTGGAATGAATTTCCATTGAATTTCTTTTGACTGACAGAATAATGTAACAGAGTTCTGATGATCAGGTTGCTGAACTAGTTTATATAGCTCACACAATTTGTTGTTTGTACCAGTAAAGTTTGTTCCATTATCGCTACTAATGATACTTGGATGTCCTCGACGAGCAATAAAGTGTCTTAATGTAGCAATAAAATCTTCAGTACTCAGTCCATCTACCTTTTCTAAATGTACTGCCTTAGTAGTCAAACATATGAATAGCGCTAGGTAGGATTTTGTGAAGGTTCAACGGCGAAATTTGGATTTGACATTGAATGGGCCGGTAAAGTCGACTCCTACTCTTTCAAAGGCAGTTGCTGGTGTAATTCCGGATGTAGGTAGATTAGACATAAGTTGGTGACATGTTGCATTTCGAAATTGATAACATTTAATACAGTTATTGTGTATGATCCAATAACTTTGTCTAAGAAGGGTCATAGTAACCGACAAGCTTGAATGTAAGTTATGTAGGTGTACTTGGTTGATGATCATTGTAGTGAAGGAGTAATTTTTTGGTAGAATAATAGGATGTTTCATGTTACAACCCAATTCTGAATGTTTGAGACGACCGCCAACTCTTAATATTCCTTTTTAATCTATAAATTGATTTAAACCAGCAAGTTGACTATTGGTCCTTACATTCTGTTGTCGACTCAGGGAGGTTAGTTCCATGACAAATTCTGCTCCTTTCACTGCACGTAACCAGTAATCCATTGCTCGGCGCCTTTCACTCACAGCACAGCTTCCAACAGTCTGGTTGGCCTTGGGTCTACAGTTCCTTCAAAATCGAATAATATAAGACACAATTCTCAATAACCGTTCTAGATTAGAATGGCGATTCAGCAGTTGTAAACTTGATGAAGTGCCTGATGTAGTTGTTATTGGCATACTGCATTGCACTGTTCTTTCTTCAATGTTAAATGTAGAATTTTCATAATTGTCCGCTACTGGCCACTCTGCAGGGGTGGTAAGCCACCTGGGACCATTCCACCATAACTGATTTGTAGTAAGCTCTTGGCCATTAGAGCCTCTTGAGGCCACATCTGCTGGATTGTCTGCAGAAGGAACGTATCGCCAAACCGCTGATGGCGTCAAGGTTTGGATCTGTCCTACTCTATTTGAGACAAACGTCAGCCACCTAGCTGGATCACTACCAATCCAATGTAATGTAACAATTGAATCTGACCACAAATTTACTGATTGTATGTTTATGTTAGTCGATTGAAGTTGGGCGTTAGTAAGCTCAGCAAGTAACAGCGCACCACATAACTCCAATCTTGGAATGGTCATTTTCTTGATTGGTGCAACTTGAGTTTTTGCTGTCAGCAACATGGGTGCTGAATGTTTTTGAGTGGAGTCAAGGTAGACTACAGCGGTATAAGCCTTTTCAGAGCTATCACTGAAACCGTGCAGTATAAATGTACTTGAATTCATTGTATGAATTTATTATATGTCGTGGTACTTCAAATGTGTTTAAAAATTTGAATGATGTTCTATGTATTTTCCAAGCTTTAAATAAGTTTTGGAGAATTTGGTCATCCCACTCTAAGCGCTCTTGCCACAATTGTTGCATTATTAATTTAGCAACAGCTACTAGGGGCGCCAACCAACCACAAGGATCAAAGTTTCTTGCAATTTCAGATAATAGTTCAATTTTGGTTAGATGAGAGATAACTTTCATTGGTTCCGCCTTAATTGTGAATGTGTCATTCGTTGTGTTCCAATTGATACCCAATATTTTTATTGTGGAATCTATATCTTCTTTGAATGAAATCTCTTTAATTTGGTGTTCAGAGAGTATGTGTTGTAAGGCTTCACGGTGCTTGCCCATTTGCGCAGCTCGAAACCTCCGTGACTTAATTATGCTATAAGTTCTTGAATTTTATGTAATACTTCACTTAGATTATCACCACCAGTCATGACTTCATCAACATAAAAGTCATTTAATAAGATCTTCGATCCTATTGGGTAGTTGTCTTGCTCATCCAGTGCTAATTGTTTTAAGACACGTAAGGCATGATATGGTGAGGTGATCAATCCATATGTCACTATTGAAAGTCTGTAACTCTGTATGGGTTTCGATGAATCATCTCTCCATACGATACCTTGAAACTGCTGATCTTCCTCGTGAACTTGTATCTGCCGGAACATTTGACGTAAATCTGCGGTAAACACAAGGGCTGGAAATCTGAAATGTGTAATGACATCAACAATTTTCTTTTGCAATTTATGACCACGATATAATCGATCGTTAAGCGAAAC